TCTAATACACACGGAAAATATTCTCTTTTACTACAGGTATTCTCAGTTTTAAGGTAAGATGCTTCACATAAAACTAAGACAAGACACCATTAATCTAATCATGTTCATATGAATGTAAACTTACCTCTAGATATATTGATGGTGGGTTATGCTCTCCTCCAAATTTGTCTAGCAGTGCCTCTATATGTTCTTGCGTTAATTTAATCATCTGTTTGATATTCCACACCTAAAACAGAAGATTGAAAATTTTTATAAATAGAAGGAGCCTAGAGAACCCATCCTAAAACAAATTACATTTTATTGGTATTTAATAAGAGAAGTCCATAATAAAAGTATTTTAATTATCAGTAAAAGAATACACAAAGCTATCCCTTTCCCACTGTCAGTAATATTCAGTTTGCTTCAGAGATAAACAGAAAAAACTTGAATTTGGTTTTAAAATTCAGGAACCACTGAATAAACAACTTTTAAGAATGATTTATTTTTCATGTCTATCAAAACCGTATTAAGTATTTTCCTTGCAAGACTCTGCAACCCAATTTCTACAGCACGACAAAGTTTAGCGAAGTTCAAAGCTTAAGTAATTTGCGTAAGCAACATTCACAAAACCTAGACCTTGTGTTCTATGTGAATGGGAATAGAATGTCTTTATCCTAAAGAGCACCTTCTTATATCTCAACTGCTATACTCTGTCTATTGTGCGGTGTTCTTACAGACCTTGGACACCATCTGAAGAAGACATTTACCTCTAGTGCACAGAGGGGACTTATGGCACTGTACTAACAAGCAACTCAAGCTGTTGCTCATTCTTCGCAACATCTTGAAAGAGTCAGTATTAGGACTTTGAGACTACTGTAGGTGAACAGCATAATGATTCCTAACTTACACCTAAAAAGGCAGTGAAGCACAAACTCAAACATTTAAAACAATAATGCTACACTGATCTAAGACGATACTTCATTACAACCAAATTCACAAGTTTATAGCAAGGGAAGAGGGAGGAAGAGAGGAGAATATCTTCTTAGTAGGTACTGTTACTCAGATAATTTATCAGAAAAAAATTATTATGTCCAAGTTATTAGATTCAGGATGGAAGAAATGAAGAAAACATAATCAGTGCTTCTTCCAAAGGGATCTTGAAGATTTCTGTTACCTTTTCCAGTTTAACTCTTTTCTACTTCAGATTATAATACGTACAGGTCTGGATTTACAAATCGTGACAACCCACCTCTTTAGTAAGAGAATGCAGAAAACTTCACATTCTAAAGGAGGCACCAGTACTAGGATCCAACCTAAGTTGGATCAAAACAAGCTTTACTGCGTAACTTGAGATGTTCACAACGAAACAAACTCTAAAACACAGAACTTACATTTTGCACACCACCTTATTTACCCCTTCTAATTCTAGGCATCAGTTCTTTGCCAGTAATTTCCTAAATTAAAATAATAATTGACTCACTTCTAGTCCAAGTTTTAGAACAGACACCAGAACAAAGACTGCATCAAGAAGCTAGAGTCAAGCAAAAATAGTTTGCTCAGGAACAAGTAACTCAAACTACAAGGAGTAGGGGGACACCAAAGAAAGAGTATGCTGTTCAAGTACCCTGTATGTAAATTCCCTTGAGGCAAATGTGGAAGTCAGCTTGCTTCTCAACTTGCAATCAATTCAGCACGTTGAAGCTACCACTGCCAACCAGCAGCAAAGAGAAGGATTTCTTTATTTTGCTTGTTTTTTTCAATACGGCAAGGGCAAGATGTGTGCTTGGTGAAAAGAACAAGCTTGAATCAACATAATTTCAATTACCCTGTTCAATATAAGAGTTTAAGATGTTTAATTACTGTGTAACTGGTAATGTGCTGTTAACCTGGGTGTGTATACAGAACATTCCTGGGAAACTACGGAATTACCTCAGGATTACCTTCAGATAGTTTTCATCAGTACTTAACACAACACCTATTATTCGGTCAGTCTGGCAGTTTTACCCACCAAAAGTTTTCCTTCACACGTACTGCACCACAAGCAACACCAACAATTCACAATACTTAAATGCCTGGCAATGGCTGGGAGGGAAGAAGCTGCACTGATAATGTAATCCAGAATGGCAGGAGGACTGAGGTTGGAAGGGACCTCTGGAGGTCATCTGGTCCAACCTGCTCCTCGAGCAGGTTGCCCAGAACCATATCCAGATGGCTTTTGAACATCTCCAAGGACGGAGACTGCCTCCTTGGGCAACCTGTGTCAGTGCTCAGCCACCCTCCCATTGAAGTGTTTCCTGATGTTCAGGGGGAACCTCTTGTGTTTCAGCTTGTGCCCATTTGCCTCTGTTCTTGTCACCAGGCACCACTGGAGAGAGCCTGGCTCCATCTGCCTTTCACCAACCCTTAACCATCTCTATGGCCCTTCACTGGACTCTCTCCAGCATGGCCATGTCTCCAAATACTTTTTCTGAACACTGATCATTAATAACTTCCTTGCTTACATGTTACTTTCTATTTTGTGTCCATAGCCGCAACTTTGCTTCTCTCTTCTCTTCCAGTAAAGATGCAGAACAACAAATATAACTGAGCAACACTGTGCACAACAGAAGCATGTAATTTAGGAGATGCTGGTAAGAGAATCAAACAGCCACTAATGAGGGCAGAAATCTTCATAACAAGAGCAAAAACTGAATTACAAATGAAGAAAATAGTAATAATTTAAAAATTTAAACTTACTGCTAGCTGCCAGGCTATGATAAAAATGTCTTCACCTGAAGAAGCTGAAATTAAAGTCTAATGGAAGACAACATTGCTCAGAGGAGCTGAGCAAACGGTGCCCTGAATTACCTACCTTACACATCTGTGCACTAAACCAAAAGTCTTTCCACAAGTGAGTCTTACAGGCAAACTTAATATGGATTTCTATCATCTTAGCAAGGCTAGTCACACAGCTAAAAGTACGCTGAAGGCAGAAGGAAATTTATCAAAGTCCACCATAGCAACAAATCATTACTTGTTGCTCACAGAAATGGAAAACCTATTTTGTGTGCCATATTCATCAAGAGTCTTCTGACAAGCTGAAAAAACTTTCACAAATCCAGTATCGACTACCATATTGTAACCCTAATCAAGTACGCACAAGAACACATACGCTACAGCAAATGTCCAAACTTCACAACTTCCCTTTAAGTGGCAACTTCTGCTTATTTTTACTTAGAAAAGACTTGCCTTCTGGCTTCCCATATCAGTGAATATTCTTTTACACAGGTTTTTGTGGTCCAGAGCAACCCTTAACTAGCCAGCTCCTTGAGAATCAACCCGTGTGCAAGTACACTGCATGCTGCTACGCAGGATCTACAACTACTTCAGTTCAACTGAAGGAGCTCAAGACTTTTCCTAACTGGAATTCAGAACTGGTGCCCTGTGCGAGTGACCTCATGTGATTCAAAAACTCCTGCTCTTGCACACCACAGCATCTGCCTCCCAAAAAATACACCACACCTGTGGCACTCACACAGCCAGTAGAGCCAGCAACCTCAGCCTGTCCCTCTTGTGACAGACTTGCCTGTTCAGGTAACTCATCTCAGCTACGTCTGCATCCTGTGCACCAGCCCAGCCTCGTGGACTTTGAGCCAAGACATGTCCCCATCATCTCTGTGGAAAAAACAACCTGCAACACCAGATTCTTCAGAATTACATCTCTTGAGTTCAGTAGCACTCACAGCTGTATGTAAGCGTTTCTTTCAACTGTCCAAGTGAAACCTAAAATGTACAAAAATTGCCAAGGATTTTAGTAAGTGTCTCACTCCCCACAAGCACACATATTGTAGGGCTACCTAACAACAGAGACAGCAAAACCATGAAATACAGACTCCTTTTAGCAATCAGTTATGGACCAAAGAGCTTGTTCCTAGACAGCAGAATAAAACCAAGTTTTTCAAGCTAAATGTGGACACACTAATGTCACTTCTTCCTCAAGATCTCACAGCAATCCCTTTATCCACACTTTATGCACACTTTCTCTAGAAGTAAAAGAAAACCACAGCAACCTGCTGGCCATTAAGAAAGAACAGACCTATTTTTTGTTATCCTTATGAGCACCGCACTACAGTTAATGAAACTCTACACCTGTAGGAAACCATAAAACCTCAACTGCCAACTATCTTGCAGAAATACAAAAATCAATGCCAGCCTACGAGACAGTTGCTAGAAATGTTATTGAATTCTGGAGTAAACCTGCAACGCACCCAGTACTGTCCACACGCAAGTCCAGTCCCTTCCCACAGGAAGCATCATGGCTATTTGAGACACGCTGTCTCACTGCAGTTCCACGAAAAAGCAATGAATCACTTACAGCTTGGATAACCTTATAATTTTTCCAAAAAAAGCCTCAAATAAATTTTTCTGTCTTATCTGGTAGCATTAGGTTAAGGTTATTCTCTATCACAAGAGATTAGATTTGATTCTCCTTTCAGTGCTGCTGACACAAGGAAGCTGACGCAGGCGAACACGGACACGGGCAGCCAGGAGACTGGAAACATTCCAGATACACTGGAATATATCAACTTGTATCTGCCTATTGCGGATAATTGTGCATTAATTTTGCAAATAAGCACTCCCTTGCAATGTAATAAAAATGATGACCTATTTCAAGCCAGAGGCAAGTCAGATACAGTAGAAGCCCAAATCCATTCTACTGAGGGAAGACTGTGGCTCCACAAATGTGAGGCTATAAGACACAAAGTTATTTTTGCATCCTTTGCTGCTTGTCAAAGTACGCAGTGCCCGAGATGGCACAGAGTAAACTATCTTTCATATTTTTTGCACTTGGCATCAGCACTCAAATCTTGCAGCACATCCCAACTCTGTACTCGATGATTCACATTTGGTAAAAGACATTTGAGAGTGCAAATCTATTCCGTAAAGGAAAAATGAAAGCCATCATTAGTCCAGGCACAGCATGTCCTGCACTTGGATTATCACACTTCGTGGCAATGGACAATACGTTGATAGAATCAACTAGGTCATTAAAAAAATAATCAAGCATTTGATTTGGAAACTGTTTTATAAGGAGGACAGAATGATCAATACCTATCTAACACCAGTCTGATCAGCCTCTTCAGGCTTCTTTCTTACAGGATCAATTCAACTGTTTGGTCCAGTGAGCCAGAATCCATTTTGTTAGAAAAAGCTTTAGAAAGTCATCATGTATAAGACTGTCTTTAGCTGGACTAATGTCTTAACCGA